CTCCTCGCTGGCTGCCATGGAGGAGTTCCACCTCAGCCTCTCGCAGTGCGTGGTGCTGCGCTACCACTGGATCGACCCCTTCGTCCGCTCCCTCAAGCAGCGCCTGGCCTCCTTCTACAGGTAGGGACGGCAGAGCCTCGGGAGCGATCCTCACGCCCTTCCCTCTCCCATGGGGTTTGCGTTTCACCGGCAGCTGCACCTCAAGTCGTCTCTGGGAGCTGCTGCTGCACCACTCGAGCCCTGGGGAGTTTTCCCAGGTTTTTTCTGCCTCCGGATCCAGCACCAGACAAGCGGTGAGGCCGGAGCTGCGCCATCCCATAAACCATGGGTGGTCCCATTGCTCACATCTGGCTCAGGCACCTGCTGAGCATCACCCACTCCAGGGTTTGTCACCATCTGGGTTTCAGAGGGCTGGAAACGGAGGTGGGGATGGATTCATTTCAGCCCAGAAAGGTTCTGGTTGCACCGATTCATTCCAATTGCAGCACCCATTTGCCTTTATCTTTCCGCAGCTCAGTAGAAACCCAGCGCCCTCCCCATCTTCTGGGTTTTTTCCCTGCCAGCTGAAATAGGATCTTTCATATTTCAGGTTCTTCTGCGTGGCTGACCGCGTGAAGGTTTATACCAACCAGAACAAAACCAGGTGAGCGAGCAGGGGTGCAGCCTGCCTGCCTGGGGAGAAGGCTGGGCACGGTGCTGGGTGTATGGGAAGCGTCACTGCCTGTCCCAGGGTGACCGGCCTGAGCCGTGTCACGGGGCACTGTGCGATCACCTTGTCTCCAGAGGTTTCACACATTTCCCCAGCCACTTGCACGAATGTTTAGCTTCAGCACTGATTCTCTGCAAGCTGTTGGTCTCGTTAGTGCTGACTGAACCTCAGGCTGCAGGATTTCAGTCTTCTGAAGAGAACTGTTCATGGGGTGACCCGAGGCAGGCGCCTCTGCTGGCGTTCGCTTCATGCGACGGTCTCACAGCAGCTAAAGGAGACAGCCACGTTCACTGCCGTCTCCCATCCGGTTTGTTCTGTGGTTTCACAAACCTTTGTGCCAGTGTGAGCAGCCTGGGGCCACCTCTTTTGGCAGCAGTCCGTGGAATTGTAGTGCTGGTCTTCCAAGAGCTGAAGAGAAATAGCTTAGACAGTGCTAATTCTCCTGGGTGTCAGCTCAGAAGCCCGATGCCAATTGAATGTGCTTAAATAGTTTAAATGTCAAAGCAGAGGTGATTAAAACAGTGAAAAGTTGTAGGACTTAGTGGGAATGGCAGCCCACAGTAGTCATGGGCAGGACAAAGCAGATCCTGGGTGAGACTTAGTCATCCCCTCCCTTCCTGGAGTCCTAGAAAGCATCATCCAGACAGTCTTTGTGGAGATAGCTCTGTCATGTCTCTCCAGTTTGGTACTTCCCGTTCCCTGCTTCCTCTCCCACCATAAAATCCCTCTGGCAACTTCTGCTTTCTGAGTGCAGCTCCTGCACGGGCATGGCGGTCTGCTGAATTGCACATCCTTTGCCTGGAAAACAAGTTTTCATGTCCCAGAAGGTGCAGAGTTTGTCTAGTAAATCTACGTAGTTTATCATCCAGTCCTGCTTCTCCCTGCTACCGCATCTGCATTTCCGTTTTTCTTCAGAATAGAGTCAGTGTCCTTGAATGCTTAAACCTGGCATTCCTCAAAAGATCTTTCGTTAAGGGGTAGGGAATTTGCCCAGTAGGAATGCAGGGCCAAGCGTGCTTACGGCTGCGCATTCTGCAGCATGAAAGGGTGCTTGCTGTCTCTCCTTGTCTTCCTTTAGGACCTTTATTGGCTTGGAGGTCTCTGCTGGGCATTTCCAGCTGCTGGAGCTGGTCGCAGAAGTGGACAGAGTTCTGGAAGAATTTGACCTTCCCACATTCTACAAGGTGAGGGATCTCCCACTTACTTCCCTGCCGGTCCAGGGATGCCGGCTGGTTCCTTGCGAGAGGTCCGTGAAATGTTCACCCCAAATGAACAGGAGCGGGGAGGTTAGACGCTGAAATGCTCTTCTCTCGGCCTGTCAGTGAGGCTCATACTTCACACCCCGAACACGATCTTGCTGAGAATGGGACTAGAACAAGTCCATGACTTCTGTATCACGTCCTGTGCAGGGGAGTAGGATGTTAACTATCTCCTGGCCTCTTGAGAATCAGGTTTCCGGGGCGAAGGGCCGGAACTGTACGTCACGGTTTCTGTCCCACTGTGCGTTGTCCTGCATAGAATGGGCTTAGGGTGACTGCTGTGGGACTGAGCGATGTTTGTGCCTCTTCCTGGGCAGTTTTCTGGGGCATCGTTCCAGCCTCTTTGCTTAGTACTTGGCTTTGGGGACAGGTTTTGATTTTGAAGGGCCAACCCTGACTTCTCTGTCTGCAGGGCTGAGCAGGAGACTCTTGTGGGTTATTCAGAAGTGACAGGACTGTTTGTGAGAGGTTCCCTGTGCAGCTGGAAAAGCTTCTGCAGAGTTGACCACAGGGAGGCTGGGACCCAGGCAGCTGTGCTCACTGGTGTCCAAAAGGCCGCAGGGTCAGGGGGGAACCGAGAACTCGCCCCACCTCCAGCACTGCCCATATCAGCTTTGCAACTATTGAGCTGGCAGAGTGGTCTCCCAGCTTTGGGATCCTCCTACCTCTGTGATCCCAGGCAGGGCAGCATCACGCCGCGCGTTGAGCAGAGCCTCCTTGATCCCTCACAGTTCCATCTGTTTTGTCTGCAGGACCCGTCGTTCCATATCAGCTTGGCCTGGTGTGTCGGGGACCTGTCTGACAGGCTGGAAGGGCAGTGTCTGCAGGAGCTCCAGGTGCGTCCCCACATTGTGTGGAGAGCAGGGCAAGAGCCGAGCTGGTGTCCAGCTGTGTCTCCCTGCTGAGGGCAGAGAGTGGGAAATTCTCTTCACTGAGCAAGCCAAACTTCACTGGGTTGAAAGAAGAGAAGGTTTTTGGGGGAATGTGAGTTAAATCACCCTCCGGAGGGAGGTCAGAGGCTTCCAGCCACAAATGGCCTCGTGTCTCTGACTTGGTTCAGAGAGGGAGCTGTTGACTCCATGCTCTGGCAGATCCACCCTCCTGATACTGATTCCTGCATCTGTTTTCCAGGACATCGTGGATTTTTTCCTGCTGCGTGTCCAGTGGGAGCAAATCCGCTGCAAGTCAGGGAATAAGTACTTCTCCTTCCCTTTGAGGTAGGGGCTGGTGGGGCTGTGCATTTCAGAGCCTCGAAGACACTGATGTTCGACCAAGGACCATCCTCCAGCACAGCTCTGTGTGGTGCAGGCTGTCACGCACCTCCCTCGCTCTTCTTGCCTGCTCAGCATCTCTGGGGGTGTTCTGTGGCTTCAAGTCGGGCTACTTCCAAGTTTGAGTTGCTGGCTGAAGAAATGGGTGATTGTAGCAGATTTTGTCCTCGCTGCTGTATGCGCTGCAGTCAGCACCGACAGTTCCAGCCATCCCACGTTTGCTAATTTTGCTGATTTTTTTCAAAACAGTAAACAAAACCTCTATAAAAGCCGTAGATGCCTTATGGGAAGGAGGAAGCGGGTAGCGTGGGAAGCTGTTGCTAAAGGAGTGTGTCTCGCACGGTTGGAAATAGCACTGCCTGATTGTCAGGAGCATGCAAGAGGCAAGGACATGGAGCTCTCACGCCAGAGCATCTCCCTGCTGTAAGCCAGCTTGGACACATCCTTGGGTCCTATTCCGTGTCCCTCTCTCACTGCTGCTGCCTCTGCAGAGAAATGTCAGTAACTGAGTCTTTTGCCAAACAGCGAAAGGTGAAGTCTGGAGGGGAGAAGTTGGAAACCTGTTGTCTTTCGGTGCTCCTGGCTGGGTCTAAAAGAGCTTTTGCTTAAGATGGTGAGGACTTTTTTGGTGTGCTGCTGCTCCCCAGAGGCTTGCTGCCATGTGTGGGTGAGCCCAAGAGAGGGCAGTGTCAGCTTCTGCCTGAGCTGGAAGGGCAGTGCCCACGGGGGACTTAGGGGGTGGCAGCTCCTGCCCAGGCTCCACACTTTTTCCCTGTGGACCAGGGAAAAGGAACAGGTGCCATGATGACCCTGGGGATGGCGGGCTGGACTTTGTCCCCTGGGAGAAGCTCCTTTTTAATCCTTTTGTTCCCACGGGGAGGTCGGTTGCGGCCTCTCAGGTATTTGG